TAAAAATGGTTGCAATTTCTAAACATTTGATAGGATTGTTCAACCCCTTGAATTAAACCTGAAAGTCCTGAAAGAAAATGCAACAATTCCTATATTCAGGTGATTATACACTATTGAAAACATACGTCTGAATATTATATTGCATTTCCGCCAATAGATCATCCTAAAAGTTACTCACTGGAAAATACATAAACAAACACCAGTTTGATTGATGTTCACTGGAGTGCACAAAAATATCCAAGATTAAAACTTCTAAACAGTTTGTCATCGCCTAATCCATCTGATATGTCTATGCTATTTAAGGGTTGTATATCAGCTTCTGTTCTTGATGTTCCTTCTGATGTAGCTGACTCACAAGTTAAAAAAAAGTATGCTTTAAACTGGGGGTCAATATGGTAAATGGACCTGTACTTGTATAGCACCTTTGTAGTCTTCCGACCACTCAAAGCGCTTTTACACTATGTGCCACATTCACCCTTTCACACACATTCACTCTTAAGGAAAAAGGTTTGAACCACTGCTTTAACCCGTCTGATTTTAAGTCTGCTTTTTTTTCATCTGAAATAGCTTTTTAGAAGAGTTATGTAAACAATTTATGCTGAAAGGAAGTTTGGACTCTCCCACAAAAATCATTTTTGATCAATAAGTTTAAAGAAATCTCATTTAAAACCAAAATATAGATGTTACCCACTTAGGTCTTTTTTGTTAAATTAAAAAAATTATATTGATTTAAGCCGTGCCTTCTGTGATTCCCACACTGAAACTGTTATCCATCTGTTCTGGAAATGTTTACATAATTGTAAACTGTGGCAATATATCTGAAGATTTATTTTGGATAATGATATCTGAAACTGTGAGCTTCTGGAAAATTGAATTATTTGTTTCTTTTTATTATATAAATTTTTTTTAATTATTTGTCTGTTTAAATCAATTATTTTTTTCCCAGCAACAGGGCAAAAGCTGCAACAATTCATTGATTAGTTGTGAACTATTACATTTATTGCTAACTATTTTGATAATTGATTATGTTTTGAGTAATTTATTTTTAAGAAAAAAGTCAAAATTGATTTTAGCTTCTCAAATGTGATTTTTTTTTTATTATTAAAATAAAAATATATATATTATTTCTGGTTTCTTTAGTCCCCAAAACAAGACATTTGAGGACGTCACCATGGGCTTTGCAATGACTTTCTTACATTTTATGGACCAAACAACTAGTTGATAATCAGGAGAATTATCAACAGATTAATCAATAATCATTAGTTGCAGACCTGAACAGGACTGAGAGTGGCAAAAGCAGGGGAAGATATTTACATTCAATTAAAAATAGAGTGGGTATTATGAGGGTGGCTCACCTGGTAGAGCTGGCTCCTTACTGCAGCAGCTATGGGTTCGACTCCAACCTGGCCCTTTGCTGTGTCATCCCCTCTCTTTCTCCCCCTTTCCAGTTGCTCTTCAGCTGTCACCTTCAAAAGAAATAAAAACATTTAAAGAAGTCACTGATATCCCACAGGCAGGTCATCCGAAAGTCGAGGAGCCCTGATGGCAAAAGAACAGCCACCTTTAGGTTTAAGCTTTGACTTTGGAACATCCAGATACACCCACCTGCACCTCAGGTGCAAATAAGGGGTCAACATTTCTGCTATGTAGCTTGGGGCCAGTCCCAGATGCGCTTTTAAAAGTGATCAGTAAAATCTTAAAATCAGTTCTAAAAGGAAGAGGGAGCCAATAGTGAGAAGGCAGGATTGGGGTGATGTGATATTATCTGTTAAAACCAGTAAGAAAATGATTAAGCTGTCATTTATGTGTATTCATAATTAATTATATAATAATGTGGTATAAGTTTAAATGTTAGAAAATAAATACATTTTAAGGAATGACCACTTATAGATCTGTTGTTATTACAAGAATAACTGAAAAAACTCATTTTGCCTTTGGGAGTGTATGTTGGAGATAGCAAGAGCAATTGTTAGACATTAACCCTTGGCTGAGGTTTAAACAGCATACAAACTCCAGAGGGTATTGTACAACCCCTAGGTGTTACAGGGATGTTATATACTGACATATATTAAAAATTATATAAAAAAACAATATTCCATGAAGAGAGGTTCGTGAACAGGACTGATGGGAAACCCTGACCAACAGGACACTGTAGGAGTGAACTAACTCCAGACGAGGGCAGTAATGCAACGTCAAGGATGCCAACCGCCGTATAACCCCAAAGAAGAAGAAACACTACCGTAAGCTAGCTTTACCGACGACTTGCTAACCGATTTGTGAGACTTGACAAAACATAACAGTACAAAGTAACCCTTAAGGAGAGGCACGGTTACCGCTGCCAGCGGGTCATGCAGCTCTCTAAAAGGTAATGAGCCGTAAAGCCTCAGGGTCTCGGCTCAGCGGCGCCCACAAACTGCAGCCACACTGGAATGACTGGCAGCCCAGGTTGGTGTTCTTCTCTGTGGGAGGCTGGTTGAAATAAAACGGGGACTGTTTGGGCCTGTGCTCTGCTGCTTTATTAAGTTGTGACCACAAAGGAGGGACATACTTTGCCTCTATTTACCACAACTTTAAATACTCACAGTGGTCTTTCTTGTAAGACGCAATCTTATCCCAGTTTGTCACGGAGTGTAAATTACACAAAGCCAAAGCGTTTTATCCCGGGTTCAATTCCGCCTCGCAGACTGAGCGGTGAGCCCGGCGCTAACGTTAGTTCAGTTGGTTCACAGCATTGGTAAGCTAACTAAATGGTGTCAGCCTTCTGCTAACTCAGTTAACGCTACTGGCTAGTTGACAGCATACGAACCAAGATGCGTTAGCAACAACGATAATAAGGCCACATAAAGTGCGACGATGAACCAAGTGAGTGATTTTGAATTGGTGATAACCACAAGGTGACAGAAATCGTCAATGGGCTGTGTTAGTTTGGCTAGCTGGTTAGCATTACCACGATACTGGTGGCACTGGCTAACGATAGCCAGCTAGCACGGGGAAGACGCCATCCTGCTGTAATGTTATCAACTTCCCAAATAACTTCCGTGTATATTTAGAAAACGTTTACAGAAAGTGTGACCGTGGTGGTCTTTTAACTTTTTGATTTGATAAGAAGTAACTTAACTCTCAGCAATACTGACGCGTCGGACTGAGATAGCCTCACATGTGTTAACGTACCTCTCTAAACTGTTTGTAACAGGTGTAACTTATTCCTTTTTAGTGGACAACTGCCCCAGGGCCCTGGACTCTCAGGGGTCACCGAGCCAGAGGTTCACTGGTGGCAGTTAGTATGGAGAAACTAGATCCATTGCATATTTTTTTACCACCACTGACTGAATGTAATCGTTAAGAATCTTATTTTGGTTCTTGTATCTTTAGTTACCAAATCTTGAGGCCTTGTGTCAAAGTCTAGTGATAATACCTTTTAAAGCTGCAGTAGATGATTTTTATAAAAACAACTTTGTGTCATATTTGTTGGAACTTTCACTAACGTTATATCCTGACAGTAGAACATGAGACAGATAGTATATGAAACAGCCAGGTTCCTCTGGCTCCTCCTAGTGCTCCTAATGGCATTGTATAGATAGATAATTGATTGTTGAGTCTCATTCCCAGGATGCCAGAGTGTTTGTAGTTGATGCTGTGGGAATGAGACTCAACAATAAACTCTTTCTTGGCTCTGATTGGTTGCTTTCGTTCAGGCCTGGTGGATTCTTATGAATGCTATTAGGAGCACTTACAAGCCAGAGGAACCTGATATTTTCAGAGATTATCTGTCTCAGGTCACTGTCAGGATAGAGTCAAAGTTTCAGCAAATATGACAAAGTTATTGCTACTGCAGCCTTAATAGTTGACATAATGCTGACAGCGTAGGGATGGGACAATAAACAATGTTATTGTGTATCACGAATAAGCACTCAGAAAAGAATATCCCAGTGAATGATCTATTATCGAGATAATCATGAATATCTTCACGAGTGACTTAATAAAAAGGTATCTAGCTCATCAATGCAGTGGTTTTCAAACAGGAGTCCAGTTAAGTCCATTAAGACAAAATCCTCTCAAATTGCAAATCCATGATCTAATGTGCATCTATTGTGTTGGTCATCCTATACTGATTTCCTGATTTCTTTTCAACAAGGGGACGAGGAGAAATCTAATGCTTCATAGTTATTCCAAAGTGTTCAACCTTTCACCATGGCTGAAGGCTCAGCTTGCCCACTATATCCCCCACCAAAAAAGTTAAATATTATGAATTTCAAACTAAAGAATGACAGGGAGGTGAGGTTGCTGTCTGTAATGCAGTTAGTTTTTTTAACAAAATGTCAGGAAAAGGGATTCCAGTATGTTTATAGGCATTTCTTTTTAATGATTATCGCAATAATAGTGTGAATCTCAAATGTTTTGGCCAAGATAATCGTGACGTGAAATCTTTCCATGCCAGTTACAATGTACGTATTTCGAAATAAATTTTGAGTACAGTGTAATTTAAGTGTCACCAATAGACCTTTTCCACAGCAGCCATTTTGAATAATAGGGTAAATGCAGGTGTTAGCAATGATACTAATTAAAGGTCTGTTCCATTCAGGAACCCTAGTGGGGTTGCAAATAACGTTTTTATTTTGCTCATCATTTTCTAGATTATTTGTTAATAATGGAAAAAAATGTCAAAACAGTGAAACATTTCCATCCCAGTTTCTCAAAGTCCAGTGCCAACGAGCAAGTAGGCCAAGTAAGTTCTTCCAACTTCCAGCCAACTCCGACTGGCCGAAGAAAATAACCACTTTCTGTACCTTTTTTAAAAGCCATGTGCCCACTCTTGGTTAACGATGTGTTTTCCTTGTGATGGTGTTGCAGGGTATTTCCACTGCTGCAGACACAGTGGAGGGCTCTGATTCCTGCACAAAAGTACCAAGACTTCCCGCCACTAGTGGTAGAAAGTACACTTTCAGTCAATTATTCTTTTGCAGGCTTAAGACTTACATATTCACATATATATCACATTTTTCCCATTGAAAATCTGCATACTGCACAACATATTTCTCTGCTTTATTCGCTTGATATCAAGACTAATGTTGAGGCGAGTAGGATGGCGCAGCAGGTGGTCTGCAGTTTATACTGGAAAACCAGGAAATTTAGAGACTAGTTTTCCAGTTAGGAAAACATCTGGAAATTGATTAAAATGAACAAATATCCTGGAAATACAGCTCCACCAGAAAATGAAAGTGAAACTTACTTTCTGCCTGGAATTATTTCCTTGTTTAGTTCTGGAGTTTTGGAGAAAAACGTTAATATATATGGTTGTCCGTCTGCTTTACATCTTTTTCTCTGTTTAGGCGGTGCAAAAGTCATGTTAGCTCACCTGCATCCCATACGCTCATGCAAGAGTTTCCCAGGCAGAGGTTAACTCATGTTTCAGAACAGCACCCACAAAGAGGTCTAGGGAAAACACTGAAGACCTTTTTAGCTAAGCTTTATATTCCCATGTGACTACCCATTGAATTGCTGCTGAATTGAGATTTGATTCTGAATTAAATCCTGAAGAATCAAGAATTGACGCTGTATCGCTCCCACCAAAGATTCCTATCTAACCCTTTCAGTTGTGGAGTAAAATATTATTGTAACCAATAAGATTATAACCTAAACACCAAATGCAATGTGAACCCATACATAGCATTTGTCTTTTTTTGTGTGTCCATGCGTTCAGAGTTGACAGTGTGTCATCCAGCCAGGACGGAGTGAAGACCAA